TGTCAATACAGCTGTATCAACCGAGGTATCAACATCATCTTCGACATCATCATCTTGTGTGCTGCTCTCTCTGAAAAAATGGAAAATCGATGTACACGAATTTACAGCCAGCTCCATCCTGTCAATAGCATATTCACAGTAGCTTGAGTGGCATATACCTATTTGACATTGTGACTCAACTAGAAAAGAGGACAGTTCTTGGAAAAAGCACCTCCAACTGTCAGACATCTTGAACTTGGATCACGTGATTACAATAACCCAAGGACACGCCTATCAAATGAAATTAATTAAAACATGTTCATCATCATGATTTCAGTGATATGATACGATGATGAGCAGTGCTATCTCCTAATAATGTTTCATGTAAATATGATACAAATGGCTTGCCATACAATCCTATATGATATCGTATCTTAAACACCATCTTACCATTACACCTATCACCACCTTATCACCATCCCACCACCTTACATACCATTGTATCACCATTGCACTATTACACCATACACCAATGGCTACCAATATCACTTATACAATACTTCTGTAATTTCGTAACTTGTATCACAATTAATCTTAACACCTTTATACTAGTTAGACATTTAACCACCATTGTCATCTTATCATTACCATGTACACCAAAGACATGAAATATATCCATTACTATTGTACCACCATATTACCATTGTAACCGTAACCACCTTACCAGTTATCACCATTACACCATATACCCACAGGTACACCCTAATAGTTACCAATATTACCAATCCTTCTTCTTTAATATATTCTCCATTAACATGTATCACTGGAACTACTCTTTGCTTTCTTATGTCAGTCTTCCCTTTCTTCCTTAATTAATAAATTGTTTTATTTTAGCATGTACTCATGTACCTTTATTTTGTAATTCTACTTAATTTATTATTATTATTATTGTTGTTGTTGTTGTTGTTGTAGTTGTTGTATTTTGATGTACTTTTATTATGAAACAATAGTATTGAGTTTTCTATTTGACGTTTTAATAATTTTAATATAATTTATTTAATAAAATTAAAGTTAAATAAGTCGACAATTTTATTCCAGTTCTCCTGCCACAGTAGACTTGAAGTGATTACGTCTGGACATTCAAGAACTGCTTGAATTTGATGTGATTCTCCACTGGTCAGTGCAGCTCCAAAATCAGCAAGATGTGTAGGATCATCTATAACTCTTTTACCAGCCTCAATGATCTGAGCCAATTACTCTCTGTGGGACAAGAGAGAGAAATATATAAATGTACATCAATATAATCACTATAAATGTACATACAGCATCTGTGGTAATAACATAGCATGAAATAATGCAGGAAGACTGTGCTCTTGGTTATAGTACGCATGCATCTTAGGAGTAAGGTAGAAGTACATGTACATACCTTTCCAGTGAGTGACAGGCCCCCAGTCATGGCAACATTCTGATGTATTGGACAATCCATAGCCAGTGAGAGGAGGGCAGAGACTATAGTGACACCTGCAGAGGGACCATCCTTTGGGGTAGCACCCTTTAATTAAGAACAATAATAATAAAAATAATAATTAATAAATCGATAATAAAATAATAATATTAGTTGCCGCTGTCATTATTAATTGTTGATAATAATAATGGCAATAATAATAATCGCAAAAATTAAAATAAGAATATCATTATTATTATTATGAAAGTATTATACTTACCTCAGGTACATGTACGTGCCTAAATGGAGATGAATTTTTGCTTTCTAAAGGAAATCATCGTAGGATCTTTTGAAGACAAAAATGACTAAAATAAAACAAAAAAATACAATTTACTAACAGCACCAGAACACCTTATACATGTATTTCCATCTCTCTCTCTCTCTACCTTAGCAAAAGTGTAAGCAATGACAGTGGACTCCTTCATTACATCTCCTAACTGCCCAGTGGTAGTCATACCCCCTTTCTCCTCTCCCCTCCTTTGACAGGCCCTGCCCCTCAGCCATGCCTGTCTCCACATAAAGAGTAGTGCCTCCCATTGACGTCCAAGCCAGACCCATGACAATGCCAGGGGGTGTGGTCTCGTAGAGGCGATCGGAAATAAACGGAGGATGACCGACAAAATCTTTTAAATTGGAGGAAGAGACAGTGACAGGAGGAACAGGAGGGGGAGAAGGTTTCTCTTCTTCTTTTGTTTCTTCTTGCTTTTCATCATCTTCAGCTTCAGCTTCATCATCATTAGTCTGTGTCTGTGATACGACTTTAAAAGCTGCTTTATGTAATATCTGCCAAATGAAGGAGATTGAATTGCAATGAAGGAATACCATTATAATTACAAGTAGGCATATGTACATGTACATGTATAATATTAGCTAATGGTCAGTAAGCAGTATCAAGATTGCTGTCACAAATAAATACAGCAGTTTTTGGAGAAAAAGCTCTTTTCACAATTGCTCCATAAACAACCATTGGAACTAGGACTCTAAAATGGAGGCAGGAAAATTTTACT